ACACTACCGTGGACAAATAAGTTTAAAATATATAAAATAACTATGAAAGTAACTATTAAATTAGTTACTAGTTACTTAAAAGATGTAACTAAGTTAAGTGATAATTACAGATGGAAAGAAAGTAACGAAGTTAAGTTACAGTTACTGAAAAAAAGTAACTCTAACTATAACTTCGTTACAAGTAACGAGTTACTTCCCATCCTTGACATAATGTCAACCAATAATAGAGCTTTTCAATTTAACCCAGATTGGTGTAAATCCGGTCGGGTCGAAAACGCTAATAGAAATCAAATAACGCTACAGATGCCGATACAAATCGAAATGAGTGATCGTTTGAGAGAGCACGATAAAATTTATTCTCGAATGTTTTCATTCAAATAAAATTTTTGTTAATTGTTTAAACAATAACTGTTTAAACAAATTATATGTGATAATCTTTATTTTAAATTCATAACTATGAATAAAGAAAAAGAACATAGAATACCTATAAATAACAGTAAATAAAAAAAATTAACACATTTGAAAATCACGTTTTTTCAACTATATTGCATTTTTTAACTAATTTTCAATTGTTTTAATTTATGTGTAATAAGACGTTTGCAATATCTAGTAATATATAATATATTCATTCGGCATTGCCTTGTAATTTATGAATTTATATCGATTCTTATTCTCGCTCTTTTGAATTAGTTTTATACTATTATTTGATATTAAGAATCCTGCACTTTCACTATTTAAAAAATTAATAGTTTACGAAATATTTTATGTCAATTTGTGACAGAATAAGGTATAAAATATTTCGTAAATATTTTTCGGTATCTCTACTTCAATACTTTTATATGTAAAATAATTAGAGGAATCGTATTATGTAAAAAATATCCCACATGGTGCTTTCAAAAAGTTCCAAAACTGAATATTTTCGGACATACTAATGGCGCTACACTTATGTTTCAATAATTGAACTAGTTGTGTGAAACTTTGTGAGTCTCCCATATTTTTTGCGTAGAATAAGCAGTTTATGTGCAGTGTGTGTATGTCAAGTTTGTAAGATTCATTGGCTTGTCGCGATTTTTTACATGGGACAAAGAACCGCAATAAAGTTTTGTTTCAAATATGAAAAAAATGCATAAAAAACGTTTGCAATGATGCAAAGTGCTCTTCAGATTTCTCGAAATATTTGGCTTATTACATTTGAAATTTTTTACCTTGTATACGGGCAGATAAACTAAATCAAAAAGTTTTCTACCGTTATGCAATTTTCATTATGGTTAACAAGAAATTAATTACATAGAATGTATTGCTGCGTTCAGCAGAACACAACAGTTTTGCAATTTTCTTTGTTCGTTTTATAATTTCGTTTTATAATTCTCTGCTGAGATAGAACTATTCCTATTGATCTAAATGCATAACCCAATCAACGTGAAGAAAACTTTCAACAATTGCAAAATAAACGTTCTGCTGAACGCAGCCAATACCACACATTACCAGCTTATTTGCGATTATAGGTTATAGATTATTCCATATTACTAATTTATTTGCCAGCTTATGTTCAATGATGCTATTATATTTTCTCTGTTATTGTACAATAAAAATGTGAATTATTTTTAATCATTTTTCTTGGTCGGTTTGCGTAAATAAACAAATTTGGACTTTATTTATTGTGTTCACATATTGTGTTATTAATCAGATCTGTACACGGAGAGAATTTTCTCTTAGAATTTAGCCTGAAAATCATGATAATAATGGGACAACATAGTATTTCAAAGAATTGTATATGAGTTTCTTTAATTTACTAATATTTGTCATAATAGGATATGCAATATATTTTATTAATTTTACTAAAGGGTATAGTAAAATTTCAACATTTTAAAATATGTTACGCAGTTTATGATTCTTTATTATTTTAAAAGAATAGATGCTAAGTAGTCATGAATATATAAAATAGCTTATACAATTTTTACCATACAGCATGATATTTTTAATATGATTTAGTCGCTTATAATTTTACCATGTAACATAGTAATTGATCGATTGTAATCGATATTTATCGGTTATTTTCGTTGTCGAATGTGTCTCTAGCTACGCTAGAACTTCAACTTACTCACTTCAAAACATTTTACAATCTGCATTATAATTTTTACTACATCATTTATAAAAAGTCTCTTGTATATTTCAAAAAATCTATCGTTATTGATAATATTTCATTATCGTCAAATTGTTCCAAGCTTATTACCAAACATGATGAAATTTGTAATAAATTTTGCGGTAAAAAGTAACGAAAAATTCTGTCCGTGTAGCCGAGTTACACATTTCGACTGATTTTATCTATCGTTATCTCTATTCCTTTTGTTTCCTACTATTCAGACTGTGCGCGGAGACATAAAACGCTCGAACTCAAGGATGATATTAGCCGTAACCTATATAGCACGTAATATCACGGTAATACCACAGCAATATCATTTTTTAATTGCAATATTATAGTGAAATGTAACAGAAATATCGCTGAAATATTATTGAGATGTCACAGTAATATTACAATGTCCGCGAAAATGAATCACAGGAATATTACTGATGAGATATATCGCAGAAATATCACTATAATATTTTGAAATATTTCTGTGATATTTATATAATGTTTATATTTATGTAATATTTATTGGGTAAAATTACATTTTAAGGAATTTTTTATAAATATATTTTTAAAAATACCAATTTATTAAATTGATATTTTTAATGTTATTTTCAAAATTATTCCATATTAAAGGAATGCTGAAGTGACCAAATTGTCGGGACTTTGCGGATCGATATAAATCTCCGAAACTGAACGGAAACAAAAATCTTTTTACGGGATTAAAATAGACGAAAAATTCGGAGATGCTGCAGTGGACTTTATACTAAAATCGCAAGAAAAGTTAAAAAAAAACTTACATTTTCTTATCTTGTAGAGATCTATCACCTGGCGTACATGTTTCCTCAATACAAAAGTTTTACAGCACATATGAACAAAATGATAGTTCAGCACCCAGCGTTTCACATGCACAATCAATACTGAGTTTATGGAACTAAGATTGAAAGCTTAAAAAGAAAGATTTACATCGACCTACAAATTACGTGTACGAATGCTGAGCGAAGACTCGGAATGGTAAACAAAGCAATAATTGTGTCTAGCAGTAGATATTCGATCTTGCAAGAGAGAGATAGCGTTGCAACATTTTAGATAAAGATAGTTGACTGAGACAGAACGTTAATGTAAGAAATGAATAAAAACAGTCACTGTTATTGATTTTTTTTT